TTTTTTTATTTTTGTTCTTTTTAATTTTTGTAAGAATAAAAAAACCCTTGATTTGCAAAAAAAGAGAGAGGAGAGGGAGATTGATAGGGAGAAAAGGAAGAGTATTTTTTTGAGAGAGAGGATTTTTTTTTTAAAAAAATAACTCTCCTAATAAGCTGGAGTGTTTTTTAGAAAAAAAAAAAGAGAAGAGAAAGCTCCTAATTGGAGCTTTTTTAAAGTTTTTTTTTTCAAATTTTATTCTTTAAAAAAAAGTTTTTTTTTTAAAAGCTTTTTATGAAATTCTGTTTGGCTCAGCTTCTACTTTTAAGCAGTAGATAAGTTAAATATAAACCAAGCCAAATGGGTACTTAGTCATCTCTTCTTTCTCTTTCGTCTTTTACTTCACCTTAATTTCATGTATATGGGGTGTAATTATTGGTTGTAACAAGTGCCTAAGCACTCATTACCAATTGTCTTATAATATTATGATGGATTGAAGTACAATCTAAACTATAGTGATTCTAAGTTACACAAATTCTCTACATTTGTCACTAAATCAACTCTTAGTTTTAGGTAAAACCAAAAGGTTGATATAATGAGAATGTCCTGTAATTTTTTAAATAATTTAAAAATATCAATGATTTAAATTTCTTTGCAAAAATTTATGTGATAAGGAAAGCAGATAATTTTTTTTAAACTACATGTAAAAGAAAAAAAAATTAAAAAATATATAAACCACTTCTTATATTTATTTTTAATTAAATTTTTTATTTTTTATTTAAATTTATCCATTTTTTATATATATACAAGCCATGATGTCGTCATAAAAATATTTAAATTGAAAATGTCAAAAAAAGCCATGCTTAAAGGCCTAACATGATTGTAATATCTTAGCATGTTAATAATGACATTTAAGTCTATAACCACCCAAAATATTAATAAAAAATATCAAAAAATTAAAATATCTTTTAATTTATCTAAAATTTTATGAAGTCCCTAATCATAAAATCCTGAGTCAATATTTGGTTAAGCCCACTCAATCGAAGTGGACAAGTGTTAGGGGAGAGCATCGGTCGGTTGGAACCGCCCAACCGACCGAAACCGACTGGTATTGTAACCGTCGGTTGTGC